GGGCCAGGCTTGGATGGCCTTTCCGATTCTGAACGAAGTCAGGATTCTTACATTCACACAACTGCCAGGTGTTGACCTGGGTTTAGTCCCACGTGTGGCATCCTGGCTTGGGTCCCAGAGGTAATGAGACACAGCCCTGCCTCACAGGAACATGGTAGTTAATCATGGGTATCCCCAAACTTTCTAAGCCCTTTTCTAAAACTCATTTTCATGGCCTGTTTTATCCACACACTCACTCCCTCCCTCATCAAGTATTTATTGAGCATCTACTACATGCTAGACATGCCACTAAGTATATCAAGGGCTATTTTCTTTGGGGTGAAGATGATGGGATAGAAAAGTGCATGAATTTTGCATCCCGCACCCTGGGCCTCTGTCCCTTGCTGGCTGTGTGCCCTCTCCAAGGTTGCCTCATCTCTCTGAGCTTCCAACTCTTCCTTTGTAAAAGAAATCACATCTGCTGTGAGGATCAACTTGGTGATATATGTGAACACTTGGAGCCGGTAGAGACTACTTCCTTTATGGCTCCTTTTTCTTGCTGCTACCTAAGGGGAGATGAGACAGCTTCAGCTTGTTTCCGCCTGCCTCTAGGTGAGAGCCAGCTCTGGGAAGGGCGCAGGTGGGCAGGAGTTGCACCTGCCAGGCTGCCCACCTTTTAGGTGTAACCTTGGGCCAGTCTTTCTACTCTGCAGGCCAGTTTCTGTAAACCGAGGATAACGTCAGAAGGGCCATTTGGCGACCCCGTTCGTAAAGCACTGGGCACACAAGGCATGAAGTAATCTGCCTCCTCCTCTGGGGTGGGGCGGGGACTGGTGTTTCTGGGCAGGTCTGGCTTTGTGCACTGTTGTGGCCAGCTCCTTGAGAAAGGCCTTCCCTACCAGGAAGCGAGTCTTCCTGAAATGTCCAGTCTTCCTCTCAGCACTGCCTTCTGGAGCATCTTCCAAGAATCTTGCCAAGGACACTTTCTTAGACAAACATAAGCACACAGGGTCCTCCCCTGCAAATCACTGGAGGTGCAACTGGGATCACACTCAACCTTGAGGTTGCTACCCAGCATGAAACCAGGGCAGAAGCAGGAACATTCTTCCAGGGCCCATGTAAGAGTGTATCTGCCAAGTTGGGGAACACCCATATTGTTAGGGTGATGTGGGTGTTGTCTCCAGAAGGCATGTGTGGAATGTGATTGGAACTAGCAGAGTGGAAGTACTCGATTGCATCTTGCATTCTTTTTTGGATGGTCTCTGGCTATCAGAGTCCCCAGGGAATTCATCAGCATCACCGAGTGCTGGACCCTAGCCCCTGGCTGATGGGTGTTTGCAGCCTACAGAGTTTGTTAGGTGTCCTGGCCTTGCCAGCAAAGCCATCCTGAACTGTGACCCTCAGGGGTTCAGTTTCAAAAACCTCTTTCAGTGGGGACTGCGTGCCAGCCCTTCAGCTCTATTAGAATTATCCCACTACCTTTGGCGTGGACCTCACGCTCCACAGGCAATCCGTAACCATAATTAAGCTTCCTGTGTAGACCTATCTGGAAAAACCAATGCAGTGCTGGGCAAGTGGGAATAACCTGGACTGCTCGGCAGTTGTCACTCCGGTGTAAAGGGAAACACTTGCATCCCGCTTTATCCATGTTTCCTGAGTTCAGATGAGAGACACGCAAGCCTAGGTGAGCTGTTCTGGATCCACAGGAACTGGGGTGTAGTGTTTACCGAGGTCCTCGAGTCAGCGTGCACTCACCGCATGGCGGATACCCCACAGCCCCGGGGCCCCCTGGCGGCTGGGGGGCATGAGACGGGCCTCCCACTGGGAGATGAGGTGTGGGATGGATCCAGGAGGGAACACGAGCCCCCGTCACAAGTCCTTCTCACGCACGGGCCGGGGCAGCGCTTGCGATGCTGGCAGCCTGGCCTTCTCGCCACCAAGGGCGCAGAGCTGAAGCTCTGGCCTGCAGTGGGCAGTGGCCGAGCACCGCGGCAGCTGAGCCCCCGGAGTCCCTCTCCCGGCGTGGCCGGCTAGCCCCACGGCCCCCTCCCCCTGACGCTTGGCTCGAACAGTGTTCACACTGTGTGGGGAGTTGCGCCACCTTCCGCGCGCACTCACAGGCCATCGGGCACTTATAGAGAAAGAGTTTATTTTCATCACAAGAAGCACACAGACTATACACAGTACACACCAACAGAAGTAAAAAAAAAAAAAGTGCGTTCTGCATCTTCTACTGCAAATTCACAGTACAAAAGATACTGCCTTTTAAATATATAATATAAAAAAAGAAGAAATTAAAAAATCACCGATATCATAACGCAACACACTGGATCTCACTGGCAGCTTCTGAAAACCAAAGGGCAGCTCGCCTTGGGGCGCCAGGGGCTGTACCTGCATTTTTGTGGCAAAGAGCTCAGGACCCCAACAGGAGAAGGAACTAGGGTGGCTGAGGGGTGATAAAACCTCTAGGAAATGAGACTACAACTGTGCGATGAAGGGGGTGGGGGCCCGGACAGGGCGCCCTGGCTCGGTAGACACCAAACTCCACGGGGCGCAGCGAGCCGCCCCGCCGGGCTGCAGGAGCTGGCCGCGGGCTCTGGCGGGCCCCAGGCTGTGGGCGCCCTCAGGACTGCGTAGCCCGGGGCGCGGGTAAGGGGCAGGGCTCAGCCCTCACACTGACCACCACGGACAAGGCAAAGTATCCAATCACAGAAGGTGAGAGCGTAACAGCTTCCCGTAAATACACAGTATTTGTAAACTATTATTAAGGCACTCGATTGTAAAACAATAATTACAGTGTAGGCCAGAGGGAGGAAGCAGCCACCCTCGAGCGGCAGGGCCGACAGAAAGGACAGCAGAGGGCCGGCCGCCTGGCTGAGTCTCCTGTCCAGGAGGCGGAATGAAGCCAGGGCCGCAGCAGCTACTGCAGGAGCCAGGCAGCCCCGCGAGGGCCGCTTCAGCTCCCGGTCGCGCTGGGGGATCGGCCTCGAGGTCTGGGCAGGCGGTGGACGCCGAAGTGAGGTGCGTGACAGCTGGGTTCAAGTTCGGCAGGTGTCTGTTCAGCGTGAACTCATGCGCTGCGGGCAGACGACTGAAAAACCAAGCAGCAAGCGCGGGGCTCAGTGGACGGCCCTCACAGGCACGCGGCCCTGGCCAGGGAGCCAGCCGGGCAGTGTGGATGCGCGACTTTGCAGCCGACCTCGCTCTCCCGCCAGAGCCGACGCGGGGCCCCGCACTGCGTCTGGGGGAGCCCTGCGAGGTGACAAGCCGGAGCCTGGGACGAGATCCGACGCTAAGCCTTTCCTGTCGATGGGAAGCAAGTCCTCCTCTGCGCACCCGCGAGCTTACTCACATGGTCTCGACTACACGATGCAGCATCTGTTCCCGTGAGGGAGAACTGGCCCGGGGGGGCAGGGGAGGCCCCAGCCTTCCGGGTCGGGCCTGTGCGGGAGAGAAGATGGCGAAGCGGAGAGCTGCTCTGAAGGTGTCAGCTCCACGCCTCCATCCTGAAGCGTCCTCTGGCTTCCCCACAGGGGGAGGAGTTAGAATGGACTGGAATGCTCTTGAGCTGGACAGGGTGGGACGGAGCAGGGCTGGGCAGAACAGGGCAGCCCTCTGTGAGCCCTGGCGATAGTCTGCGTGCCGAGGCCAGCGTCACTGTGCAGCAAGCAGCACATGGCTCAGGAGCCGGACACCGACGTGTCCCTCCTGGAGGCCAAGGAGGCCGAGCAGCCCAGGAGCAAGAAAGTGACCGGGAAACGGGCATCGTCCAGTCCTGACTGGAGCCGTGGGGTGCCCCTTCTCTCTGTGGCCAGTTCCCCCCTTACACTTAACACTTAGTAGAGAAAGGGAGGCCCAGACGCCCCCCACCCCGAGTCAAAGCTAGACCGGGTCTGGTCTGCTCCCCTCTGGCCTGCGCCTGAATCCCTGGGGCTGCTCAGCACAGAGGCGCCCACGGAGGAT